CAAAAACATCACATTTCTAGGAATTGTTCTTGACCAATTTCTGTAATCACTTGGATTTGATTACGAAAAAAATTATCAAATGTGCGGCAATTATTTCCCGGATTCGACATTTCACAAACCTAAATTCTTTAAAGCTAATATATTATGCTTTGGTCTATCCATATCTAACTTATGGTAATTTACTCTGGGGTAACACCTATAAATCACGTTTTCAAAAGTTAGTGAATATTCAAAAAAAGATTGTCAGATTAATGACTTTCAAATCTTATTTCGATCATTCAGAACCAATTTTTAATGACTTACAAATACTCAATTTATATAAAATAAATTATTATTTAACGAGTATATTCATGTTCCGGTATTTTCATCTACAGAATCCACCAGAATTATTCATAAACTATTTTTTGACAAATAAGCAAATTCATAATCATAACACAAGAAATTCTTCGTTGCTACACAAAAGGAGTATAGAACAAACTATACCAAACATACTCTTGCCAATAAAGGCATAGATGTGTGGAATAATCTTCCCACAAAAAATAAAAAACCTAGGTCTTATGCTTCCTTCAAATCAATAATTAAAAAGTACTTTTTACAACTAGATTTAACAATATAACATGTTTTTGTAAATATAATTATATATATATTCATATGTATTATATAATACTTCTTTTCCTTACTAATTCTTTGAAAAACACTCGAACTGACACGAGCTTATATTTATTGATATAGCTTAAATAATTAACCTAGGGACCTAAAAAAAAGCCGTGTGGTTTCTAGTAGGTTCCTAGCCCATTTCTTATGTATATATCTATTCCTTGTAAATGTAATATTTTGGGCGAAAAATATTTTTTTTAAAAAAATGTAAATTCCGGACATTTGCATGCATATCAATAAAACTGAAATAAGTCGGAGACAAAGTATGCAAACGAAAATCTTCAAAATAAGTTACAATATTATTTCAAAAGTTTTTAGGAATGAGATGTTAAAATAATTGAGGTTAACAGTACTTTAAATGGACAAATAACCAGGGCTTCCTGCTAACATATAATCTACGCTAGTTAAAGACCGGTCATAAAGTAACTGCTAGGGTGGGCTGGAGTGATTTGGAATGGGCCATTGAAAATCTTTGAGCAGTTTCGATGGGCCGCCAAATTTTTTGTATGTCCACGGCTGGGCCACCAAACAAAAACCCATGCATGTCTACTTCAAAAAATAAAGATATTAATAATAAAAGTAAACAAAACTATCCGAATTATCAAATGCAAATGATGCTATTGAAGCCAGTACTTTGTTTTATACAACAACAAGAAGTGGTCGAATCACAGCAAATACAACCAACTGGAGAACAGCTCAGTATCGTAACTGGTGATGAATATGTTGGTCAAGCTTGGTGGAATTACGTAGGTCAATACAGTGCCGGTGTATATTTACAATGTTCATACCTGCAAGTTTTTTTTATTATAAAAGTGTATTTTCCCAATTTAGATTGGGTGGGTCATGAAATTTTTTTTGAAGATTAGATGGGCTTTGAAATTTTTATCTACATCCTAAGATGAGTCACCAAACTTATTGGCAAAATTTGCGAGTTACCTCCAGCCCACCCTAGCAGTTACTTTATGACCAGTCCCTTATATTTATTTCAACACTGGACGTGCTGGTCATTTATAACCAGATTCCTGGTTATATTAACCGGATCATTGTAAATGAGATAAAGTAACCATGGAAATTTAAGCATGCAGGAATATTAAATTAACCTATGCAAATAGGGTTATGTACTGTTTAATAAACGAGCAGGAGTGAAACTATTAGGTCTAAAGCCACTTGCACGACCTGCAAGTTTATTAAACGGCTTCAAACACGACTACAAATTCAATAGATACCGCTTTATTAGTATTTTTTATATAAAAAATACTAATTAATGAGGACACGACAACAATAGATACTGCCTTATTAGTATTCTCCATATAAAGAATACTAATTAGGAGTGTTTTATCAGGTTTAAAGCCACCGGACGTGACATATTATGGTTGACATGATTTGCCAATAAGCTTATGAATTATTAAAGTGCCCTACAGTCCGATCTGCGCATGTGCACAAAGGAGCCCACTTTTTATGAAACAGTTTAACTATGTTTTGGGTTCTGCATGCAAAGCCTGATTGTTGTTTCTTGATTATTTATTATACTCTAGAAGCTTGAAAATATAAATAGTTGTCGAATAAAGCTCAATATTTTGGACACAAAAATGTAAACAAAGGCTTTGTTTACATACGGACTGTAGGGCACCTTTAATGAGTGTTTGAATTTTAGTTTAAAGAGGAAATTTTAATACGAGTGTTTTGGAGTGTAAAGGGGAAAAATCATGCATAAATGTTATAAACTTGGGCTTGAAAATTTTAGGCTCTCATGCTTAGGCCCCGTTTACATGAAACCAGGACGAAGTCAAACCAGAATGAAAATTGAGATTGTCAACATGTTTACATGAGATCGGAACGAAAATCACAAAATTTTCAATTTATTCCCCTTGCCAGGCAATTTTCTTTTTTATAGATGCCCGTTGGCTTTTGTTAGCATGTGTTGTTCAAGGTTACAGCCAAGACCTCAGATAAGCTATTTCTAGCATTTTGAGGAGTTTTTCAACGAGAAATTAACCTTATAAACAGTGACACAATTACTGCAATTTCACAGTCTCCCCAATGTAATCCAGTCGAAAAAACGCAGTATGGTGTGATGATGCGGTAATGATAATATGCATGGTATAGTATTATCATCATGGATAATAAAATAAAATGGATAGGAAACTAGCTGACGTGACCTAATGTTTTTACTGGGATTGATGGCGTGGTTGGATGCCTCAACCTAGTTGAAAATCAAATTCTCAAAAACGGCATGTTTAGCAATAATACAGCTAAAAAATTTAGTCAAAGAGCAAATAAATGTAACCACGCCATTCTACGATGAAAACTCTAAGTATTCCCAGTCAATTTCAGCAAATATTTCAAGCACTAAACAGTGAAAAATGCATCGCAAATTTCGTTAAAATTTGTGACGCCAATTTCGTAGCTACAAATGTAAAAAAATACAAAACAAAGACGAAAAACATTTACCTTGAATACTTTGTCGTGGCTTAGGCATGTTTTTTAAACAATTAGACCAGTATATGCTTCACTGATTACTCTTTTAAAGCGGAAAGTATAGCGAAACAACAAAAATGCCGAGAACTTTGCAATACGCGTGACGTCACAGATTGCAACTAGGTTGTTTTTGCTTACGTCAGCTAGAGTCCTATCCATTTATTTTATTATCCATGATTATACTAAGCGAAATCATTTTACGAGTTAAAATATTTTAAAGCCAAAATATCCGCCATCTTGAAACGTCATTGTTGCCATAGCGACGCCAGTTGCATACTTTTGTGCAAAAATTCAAACTCTTTAGATGTTATTTTATACTAATAGCATACTTGCCCGGGTTTCTTTTGTTTCAACAGGGTCGATTACTAACTAATCGCCCGCTGTAGCGGGCGATTAGTTCTAATCGCCCGCTAGAGCGGGCGATTAGAACTAATCGCCCGTTACCAAGAGTCACACCTTTGTCTCCCTGACGACTACGCATTAGGCAAGTGCCTCACGCACATAATCGTGCAGGGAACAGCAACAGTTAGCTCAGAGCCGTCAATACTCTATCATCCGATCCCTGAGTTGCCGCATCATTTAAATGGCATGTACTAAAAGGCGAAACGTCGAAACGAAACGACCGAAACGAAACGGCCGAAACCATCGAAACCACCGAAACGACCGAAACGAAACGACCGAAACGAAACAACCGAAAC